GGACTAATGGCCAGTTTGGTCAACCTCGTCCCATGGTGGCGACTGCGGATGCGGCCACTTCAACTAAATCTTCTATCTCGGTACCGCCCCTAGAGCAACCCACCGGATGTTCACAACCACCTCCAGTGGTGGACCATCAACAAGCACCTGTGGACGGGCAGTCCCTTTATTCCATGGAGACAGAACATCACAATGACAATGAACACATCACTATTTCGATGAGGGACCTCCCTTCCTCCGCTCCATGCGTCCTGGGTTTGGGACTCTTCCTTGCGCAACAAACACATCAACCTGCTGGAACTTCATGCAGTATTCAATGCCCTTCGCCACTTCCAGCAGCACTTAGTGGGTCTCTCGGTTCGAATCCAGAGTGACAACTCCACAGTGGTAGCGTACATCAACCACCAAGGCAGTACTCGCTCCCCCCAGCTTTGCGTCCTTACATGGCAGATCTTCATGTGGGCGAGCGATAATGGGATTGCCATCCTGGCCGTCCACATAGCAGGAACAACCAACAGCATAGCAGACGCTCTCTCTCAGGGCACTGTCCACCCTACGGAGTGGACTCTTCAGTCAGATCAGATTTTCACAGAGATTGAGCGTCCCCATGTTGCCCTCCTTCATTGGCCGACAATACTCATCTCCCGACGTTTTACTCCAGGTTTCCTCACCCGCAAGCTTGGGCGAGGGATGCTCTACAGGTGGATTGGTCCGGCCTCCTGGCGTATGCCTTTCCCCCCATCTCTCTCATCCTTCCTGTCATATCCAAGATAGAACAAGCGACATGCCAGATCCTCCTCATCGCCCCGTTCTGGCTTCGACAACCGTTGTTCCCAAGACTCACGAGGCTCTTGGTTCGACGACCACTAATCCTTCTGCCCAGGGAGGATATTATTTGTCAACCCAGGTCAAGAATCCTCCATTCAGCACTGAACGATCTTCACTTGATGTGTTGGGCATTGCCCAACAATCATCCAGAGTGTCAGGCCTTTCTACGGATGCTGCATCCATGGCGGCCTGGGCCGATGACTGTCCACACGCAACATTTACAACAATTGACTACAAAATTTTACTAGATGGTGTGACGACCATGATGTTTCTCCAGCTGAAGCTTCTGTAAGCTCCATTGCAGACTTTTTCATGTATCTCTTTCACTCGGGCCTCCAGATTGGCACCATCCACAACTACTGGTCGGCCTTGGCAGCTGTTCACTTGTGGTTCAGTGATGGATCAACGATATCTGATAACGCTGCCATCCACCATCTCCTTCGGGTTCACCTTATCCCAGCCATCGAGTTCCTGACAAAGAACCAGACACCTGCCTTCCGGCCTCCAGACACATTTGTCCCCGACATAACGTCTCTTTTGGGAGATAACTCTGACAAGAACTGGTGTCTGGTTCGTACTCTCAAGTGGTATCTCACCAGGACCAAGCTGGGAGGGAACCTGGTTCCAGACTCGTCATCACAACCACAAAGCCCTTTCATCCAGCGGCGAAGGAAACTATTGTCTGATGGACAGTCTTGGCCATCATCTTCATGAACCAAGACTGGCCGACTCAGCATGACAAGGCGACCCGTTCTCATGTCAGAGCCCATGATGTTCGGGCCCCCTCTTCATCCTGGTCGTACTTCAGAGGCCTCTCCCTGGCGGATATATGCCAGGTGGTTTGCTGGAGATCCCCCTCCACCTTCACCAAGTGCTACCTGAAGAATGTCCTGCTGAGCGAGACAACTCACGGCGCAGCAACTTTGCGGTTGGGACAGCATCCAGCACCGTCCCACTCCGAACAATGAATTCTTCATTGTAGATACCTCTTTCTTTGGTGAGTGTTCGCTTGGGCGATGCCCGTCTATGTTCTCTAGTAACTACTCTCCCGTCGCCGACCTTCTTCCAGGGTATGGTGCCACTCTGCATATGTAAGCTGGACAGAGGTATTTCAATGCAAGAGACTCCTCCCCCACATTAGTGTAGACCTTTGTCCAGCCACTCCCACCCGTCCTTTCCCCACTTTGGCTCTGGGAATTTCTCCGCTTCGAAAAGAAGGAGGAACATGGTGGCAAGACCGCAGTGCATTGTGGAGGGTCAAGGGGCAGCATGCATAATCAAGTCTTTTCAGCAAATTGAAATAGGCACATGAGAAATTTCAAAAATCCAAGATTCGGCACCTACAATTGGAGGTTCTACATCTATCTTGCTGGTCCTTGTGCAATGATCCTTCAAGGTAGCAGGCCTTCATAGTGACACTGTAGCCATGGCAACTTGTTGAAAATGGTGTGATATCTGACAGTCAACTACAACATTTCATTTGTTGTTGCACAGAGCAATGTTTATCATAACCTGAATCATCTATAACTACCGTTACAGATTTTCCTCCATCTTTATTTTTTGGCCGTCAAGTAGTGATGATCCATAACTACTGCTTAGCTATCACAGCAGTTCACTTCAGTGTTTATGATGACCTTAACCACTTACTACCGGTGGTAGTTATCAATGGTGCTGGGGCAGGATATTTATCATTTTTTTCTGTTTTCAAAATTCTTTAAAAATTCCTGTCTTCATTTACTGGACACTTACATCCAAACGAAGGACTGTCTAGTGGCCTTTCTAGCCTGACAGACAAAATCTATTGAGGCCCGAATATTTCAGCCAGGTCTGCAGCCTTGTAAAAAGAGCCCAGATTGTGTGGTGTTATATAACTTTCTTTTGTTCACAAACCTGGCACAGTGCGCTACTGAACTCTTTTCAACAGGGGCTAGATTAGCGTGCAGCAGTGCTGGTGGAGTGCTTTTGTCCGCGGTGGTAATCAGCTCGCTCTAAATGCCCCAAACTGTGGTATACTGTTTCAAAACAAGGCTGTATTATCTCCATTTTTGAGAGTGAACAAATGTCGGTAATGCCCAGCAGCCTGGTCTTTTATTCCGAGTATGGTCTTTTGTTACAAGGCCCGGTTCCCTTTGTTCGAGTTCGGAGACCCCGGCCACACATATAAAGCTTATGTGTCTGGTACCGGAATCCCCAGCAGGAAGTGGTTAAATCTCAAAAGCACAAACTTTGAACATCTAGGGGAAATCTTTGTCTATCCTAGAACTGGCAGTCTTCAACCGCTCTATAGAACCCCTCCCACACCAATTTGCCAAGCGTCTCCTCATAATACATGCCAGGATGAAACTGACCTCCCCGTCAGCGGTGATGACATCATGCTGATAAAGTGAACTGCACACACTTTCCATTACCAAGGGACACAATATGTCAGAACTCCACGGAACCTGCTTCATCCCTGAACTGCGGTTCCAGACTAAATATCATTCACCTAACTCTGAACCTCTAGATATCTTTGAAACGAACATCAACTCTCACTCAGGAGTCTTATTGATAAAACTCTGTGCCTATCCAAGACCCTAATCTTTCCTGGTACATTCATTACTTCAACTCATCTCCTTGTTCAGTGACACATGACACCACTGCCTGCTCTAATAGCCAGTAGTAAATTGTAAGTATAGATTGGCTTCATATTGACAACACTCAAAGTCTGTTCGGGAGATGTGCACATCATGGGCATACTTCAAGGGTGACTATTGTCGACATCTGCAAAGTGGCATGTTGGAAATTCCCTTCCACATATGCGCCCTGTCCCCTGGCAGGTATCTTACAATCAGATTTTACCCACAGCAGGGCAGTTCATATATCAGCAATGAGCAATACCAAAGTTCCTCAACCCCACTTCGGAGAAGTCTTCCTGCTATATATCTAGTATCCTTTGTGGGTGAGCATCATTGAGACCTTGCAATTTATATCATGTGTGTTTCCATCTACCCTTTGGGCAGGTGTGAATATCAAATTCATATTTATGACCAATATCAAATAGTTCTGGTTTCACCCAGATGCATGGTACAGGTGATTTTAAATACACAACAAAAAATTGAAATTCTAAGTTTATTGTACTACTCGCAGCAAAAGGAATGCAAGGGAACATATATTTGATTTGATATTTTAGGCTTGTAAATTGGCAACAGATGACTTTATCATGACATCATTATTCGGGGACTATCTTGGCATTAAAGTCTGTGATTGATGTAACTTTGATGGGGATGAAAAATTGCTAAATGATCAAAATGGCCTCATAAAAACTGTACAAAGTGAATGGGTTAAATTAAATATTCAAAATTTCATCAAAAATTACACGATGACATCCCATCATGACATCATATATCAGGAAACATATGTGCTCTGAGGTCTTTGGATTGTGTAAGATGATGTTTTCATCGTTATATACAATTAACATCTTCCCAACGCAAAAATACATCTTGAAAATAGCTCGCGGTACCCGCTGCTTCATTTG